TACACAATCTAAGCATGGCCTCTCCCCTATTTAAATACACTGGATTTTGCTTCCTTGAGGAAAGAAATTTCTTGCACTAAACCGTGTAACATTAGAGTCCTACATATACTAAAAATAAATCAATTTATCATAATATTTCCTTTTCTAAAATGGTTTCATCTCCATTACATAATTTTCATTTTTATGTATCCAAAAATGTTCTTAATATTAGTTTGTGAGGGAGAGAAAGACAGGAATTTATGTCAACAAAACTAGACACAAAACCCAGCAGCTCATGGGAATTCAGGTGATTAATTCACGCTTTGGCACAATTCTGTGGCCATTAGGAGGCGAGGTCTGAGTTCATGGTAGTATGCTTGATGCTATGTGGCTTTGGCCAAGTTCCCTACTCAATCAAGCTTCTGTATCGTGAAATCAAAGTCTATGAAATTTCTGTAAACATCACCTATGAATCGATGAGTTGCTCACTGAGAACGGCATAGATCGTGACAATTAGATTTATTTGGTTACCAACAAAGTCAATTGATTGGCTAGCTTACAGAGGAATGGAATTTATCAGAAAGATACTGTGCACTCCACAGTTTCTGTGGACAATCAGGCCCTAAAAAGAACAAGAGAAAGAGTAGTTTCCAGGTTCCCTAAGAAATAAAGAGCAACTTCTTCAAGGAGCCAGTTTTTGGTTTTTTTTTTTTTTTTTCCTATCTTTGCAACATTTTCTCCTGTTAGAAGAAGAAAGAGTTCCATGGGCCTACCTGAGGATATAGGCTAGAGGGCATTGAACCCCCTTATTTAGAGTTTTCTTAAGCGGACTCATAATGATGAGCAGTATTTATTTTGAAGAGCAAAGATCTGTTATTAATTACATTTGATAAGATTAGATTGACTAGAAATTAGACTATCTCAAGGTATATTCAGGGCTTCCCAGGTGGCACTAGTGGTAAAGAACCTGCCTGCCAATGCAAGAGATATAAGAGACGCAAGTTAGATCACTGGGTTGGGAAGATCCCTTGGAGGAGGGCACAGCAAACCACTCCAGTCTTCTTGCCTGGAGAGTCCCATGGACAGAGGAGCCTGGTGGGCTACGGTCCATAGAGGTGCAAAGAGTCAGACATGACAGAAGCAACTTAGACATGCAAGGTGAATTCAGAAATGAAGAGTCGATTCTAAAAAGCAACAGAAGGAGAAGCATCAAACATTTAGTTGGTCTTTTAGTATTATCATTGTATTAGACTTTTTATAATGTGAACACATCTTTTATGGAGCCTAGGATTAATATTACAAATGCAATTCATTTCCAAAGAGTAGAAAATAACTGACCACTGATCAAGAGAAATGGCAATTCCACAGAAATTAGGCTCAAGTAGATACTTGGGTTAATAGATTTGCTTTCAAGCACTGAAAATAGCCAGAGGAAACATTTAGATATATTATATCTCCTGGATTTTTCAAACAATTGAGAAGACTGGTGTGCTATTTTCTTCAAACAGAGGAAACTTCTTAAAAAATTTGATGGCATACAATGCTGTTTTACTCGACAAGATTCTCTTTCAAATCACCTCTAAATTCTATGACCAGAGAACCAGCATTTTGCCTCTCTCTTTCAATCATGTGTCCGTTTGTTTACTTGTCCATTCATTTGTTTATAGCACACAAACCCCCCCTACTAGATATAACCCTTTATATCAAGAAAGCATTAATAATAAGTACTATCTGAGTGCCTTTGTTCTTCACAAAAGGCAGCTTGGACATCTGGGATGTGTGCTAGAAACCTACCAGAGGCATTTAAGAGGCAAAGAGAAGGCAAGCTCTGGAAACAGGGAGGCTGCTTGAGGTCTATTCTACCGAAACTCACTCTCTGGGTTTCTCCACCCAACAATCACACCTAAAATCCCTAGTGGCTGATGAAACTGAAAAACTGAATCTATATGTATTTTACATAAAACCTAAAGCCTTGATTTTTTTTTTGAAAGCCCTGACTTTTGTATCAACTCCCCACTCCCAATTATCTATATTTCTAGCTTGTTTTTGCTTGAAATATAGACCAAATATTTCATAGAGCGAGTTAGCCAAGAACTGTTACACGTGTTGGACATGATAAACTGTTTTTCCTTCCCTCAGTTAGTCAGTGCCTCTTTAATTTCACTTCAAATTATTGATTTTATTATAGAAAGCTAAAAATTCAATGAAAACATTCTTTTTAATATAATAAATAAGAAACAAGCCAGTAACCATTTCTAAAATTGTACATCTATCTCAAATTTGAAGTTACACAGCTGTGTGGTACATTGTAAAATATTAAAATATTATATTATAAAACTTAACAATATGGAATAGCCTGAATTTCTTATGGCAAAATTTTCTTTGGGTCACTGAATTTAATTAAAAGATTGTAACAAGCTTACACTTAAACACATAGAATATGCTTACAATTATTTTCATAATGTTTAAATATCTTAAGAGAAAACAAAATAGATGACCATTCTATTTGTCTGCACGATATTTTTTAAAGTCTGGCTGATTTTTTTCCCCACACTGGATCAACTTACCACTTAGCTTTATTTTATCACAGTAATGATGAATATTTTGCATTTTAAGTACATACAATCAATAGTTAAAATAAAAGTGTTCTAATATTTAAAAATATAAAAAGAACCTCTGAACAATATTCCTTAAGAGTAGTATAAAGGTAACAGGGTATAAGTAGTTTTTACACTTATCCTGGCATTTTTAACATACACTGTTTGGATCATTATGGTAAAACATACAGTGACACCAAAGTGAAATTTCACTTTTGAAATCAAAACTAAAAGCAAAGAAGCATGAGGCAGCAGGCACAAAATACAAATAATTTTAAGTACCTTTTAACTTGGAATGGGAGCATAACTATTTACTGATGGAACATTCCAAACTGAATTGCCCCAGGGCTGAGTGCCATTACCTCTCCTGGTTTTTTTCCATCTGTCTCTCACTGTCTAGATTTTGATTTCAGAGTTGTCAAATTTTCTCTTTCTCAGCAGTACACATTTTTGACAGTAGAGGGCACTTTGAATTTAGACAAAGCCCACAAAATCTCTGACTTCCTTCAGAGAGCTTTTGTTTGACTAGAAAGAAATAAAACGCAATTTTAGTGTACATTTAAAATGACACATTTTTAAACTAAGTGATGCTAAAGTTTGTTTCTGTCATGTGAAATCAGTCTCTCAGTATATATTTTTTTATAAAAATACTGTTAATATGAATTTCACAAAATATTACTGTAACTAGAAAAGATCTGTGACACAATAAAATAACACACAAATTAGGATCAATCTATGAATGAATAAATCTTCAATTTTCTTCTAGCCAAAAGAGCCAATGAGAAACAAAACTCCACGTCCATATTAAGTGACACATCATAAACTACATCTAAAGCCTAAAATTACACTGCAAAAATATGGTGTCTAAATGAAATTGTAGACACAATAATTCTATTTACTCAGCTCACCACAGAAATATAAAGACTTTCTCCTTCTTCCTCTTTTTATAGCTACTTAAAGAATGTTCTTAACGGAATATAAGTTTTCATATAATGTAACATATCATTTTATAAAAATTCCTTCAATTTCACATTGAAAAAAGTATTTAAATGATCTGGTAGTCTATTAATTAATTGCCCTTAAGAGAATTCTTTTTAGAATTTTCTAAAACATGACATCATGTTGTTAAAATATATAAAATAATTTACCTAAATGTAGTATAATTGCTTTTTCTAATACAAATGAGTATCTTGATCACATTCACTTCTGTGACAAATGCAATGTTACTTGTAATTATTTTACTCCATTTCAAATAACCAAATAATAAAATGTAATGAATTTTAAAACTTCAAAATGGACAGTTACTTCTGTATACTTTAGTCACATAAAATAATTACCTCTTCTAATTTAAAGCACCAACTTCTTTCGCACTTAAAATATTTTAATTTCTTCATTTAATTGAAACCAATTTTCTTATGTGCACAAGTTGAAATTTTGAAGTTGGGCTTATTTGTCCTTTCCACTCAAAAATGCACCTACTTATGGCTAATTGTGAGGCTGGTAGATTCCAAACTATGGAGAAATCCCCAGTTTTGCTGTTCAGGCACTTATACTTTAAAAACAATTAATTTAAATCTCTAGCAAGTGAATAACTTGCCTAAACTCTTCAACTGTTAAGTGACAAAGTGTATAAAGACATTGTAACTGTACAGAAGGGTTAAAGTTCATATATGTGAAATACTGTAAACTTGTAGGGTAGAATTTAAAAGTCATATGGGATAGGCTTAATGAAGGCAAGCAGGTTGATTATAAATGCCAAAAATGTACAGTTAGTTTTGCTTGAATATTTACTAGAGGAGAGAAATCCATACTAAAAAGTCTTATTGATTTTTTTGTTTACCTAATTAAGGAAAATAAAGTTGAATGCCTCCACTCACCCTGACTTCCAAAAATATGAGAAAAAAAAAAAATATATATATATATATAAAGATATGTCTCACATATAGCCTTGCCCTGACTAATTTTCATAAAAGAAAAGCAAATAAACAGCAATTGCCACTACTCTAAATGTGCCACCGCACTCGCTAAGATTTATCTTTACTCCTTCCCTCATTTATTATTGCCGGTAAACTGTGTATTTGCCACTAACACGGCCTGAATAGATTTGAAACAGTAAGTGTAACAGGCTCAAATGGACGGTGCCTATTATCCCTTCCCTCTTCCCTCTTGCCCTTTAATGGCCTATCACTTCATTCAATCTGTAGCTACATTTGTGTTCCTTTTACAACAAAAAGGGTCATAATGTTGTGTCTGATAATACTGAAATTGCCTCATTTGTTCATCTTTCGGTGGCTTGGAGCTGGTCACCCTCTCAAGTGATGCCTAGGTTTATCTCCATCAACTTTGAAAATTAAGGTCTTGTTTAGTCCCCGGCAATTTCACCCACCAAATGCTCTGGGGTTTGATGGGCCACCCCGCAGACAGATGCGAGAGAGGCCCTGGTCTAACTGGCTCCGGCAGCTCACGCCTGAGGCCGCAGGGACGCCTACTAGAACAAATCCGGGTGTCACTGGCGTGCTCCGCGGAAAAAAGAAAGGCGGCTTTGCCAATCCCCAAGGCGAGGGAGAGGCAGCAGCCGGTCAGCTGACGCTGAGAAGGCGAGAGTGGAGGAATGAGAAGAATGTGCTTGCTCAGAAGATGGGAGCGATAGGGACTCCCCACTCTGACCCCCGGCGCTGCAGCCCGGAGGAGAAGCCGGGCCTCCGCGCAGCTGTTGCCACTCGGGCTGTCACCGGGCGGCCGCTGCCTGCGCCACCAGGACGGGTTTCTGCTGCTGCTGCTGGGCCGGCCGCGGCAGCTGCTTCTGCCTTGACTGTTGCCCCTGACCCTTCTGCTGTTTCTTCCTTGATTTCAGCATCAGCTTTTCTTCCCCCGCCCCCCACCCCCGCCTCCTGGCAGTACCTCCTGTAAAAGGCAGAAAATAGGCTCTACGTTTGCCAGAGAGAGAGGGCGCTGGGAGAGGGGGTAGGGTGGCGTGCGGAAAGCTTCTGACAAAGCTGGGTTCCTGGGGCCCCTCCTGTCTTTTTCTCCCCGGCTCCGTTTAGCATTTTCCTTCCCGCAGCATCAATGCTTTGTCAGCCTTGGGCTGGGAACTAACTCCCCGCGTAGTCTCCACCTCCTCTGACTTTCCGGGATGCTTCATCCCTCACCTCTCCAACAAGGGGAAAAAATACCAAAGGGAGAAAAGGGAAGTGAATCCTCCAAGAGAACTTCATCGCTGGCAATCCAGATTTTACTGGGATTCCTGTAAGAGCAAACGGATCTTTTCAAGTCCTGGAACAATAAAACAAAAATTAAAATGGATGAATATGGCAGGTTGGGGAGCAATTAACTGGGAATTTAAAAGAGCTCTTCTTGAGGATTTTCCTGACCTGCCCACTCAGGTTACTTCCCTTTCTAAGATCCTCTTCCCTTTTCCAGGCTAGAAGCTGGGTACAACTCGGCTCATAAAAATATGTGGCAGCAATTGGAATTTACCCTTTGACCTTCCCTCTCTCACCACCACCTCGCCTACACACACACACACACACACACAGACACACACAGTCACACACAGAAGCTGCAATTCACTCTCTAGCCCTGTTTTCACCTAACAGATGACTGTGTCACTGGTGAAAACTCCCTTTTGCACAAGATAAAACTTCTAAGATCCTAGGATGGGACTTACTTGCAAAAGGAGTTCAAAGCTGCATTTTCTCTGGTGCGTATGTGAATGCTGAGATAGTTTGGGTGACAGATGAGACAGAGAGATTATATACGAAAGTACACACACACACACACACACACACACACACACACACACACACACACACACAAAACCCTGTCAGTAAACAGCAATCTTTCTTTCTGGGCAATAGAGACAGAGAGATTATATACAAAAGTGTACACACACACACACACACACACACACACACACAAAACCCTGTCAGTAAATAGCAATCTTTCTTTCAACATCATTCTCTATTGAATTTGTTTTTGTGGGTCAGTTTGTATGATTATATTCAGAATTTCTTGCAGGCGTTCTAGTGACTAGATTTAAAACACAGGAAAGGGGCAGAAACCTGAGTCTAAAATGTATGAGGAGAATTTTCTAGTTTTTCTTAAAACCTGTTCACCTTTCCAAATAATTTTTCCTTGCCTTTGTGCTGTGAAAGCCCCATTACCAGTTATGGAAAAAATAGTGCTAAGTGTTTCGTACAATTTCTTTTTGTGTGTGTGAAGCTTGAAAAGCCAAGAAAATGGGCAAAATACTGAATCAGGCCACCAGGGCCAGTTCAAATGCACAGAGAGACATTTTTACTGCATTTGAACTATTACTAAATAAAATGCCTTCTTCCTTGGAGCTCAACTAAGTACTAATTTTCCAAAACATGAATACAACTTCCGGTGGAAAGTTAAAATAATTTAAATGCAGGTCTACACCATTGTACCCTCTCAAATTAACAATGTTCCCTTAGCCCTTCCCTACAGCCTGAGCATGCGGACTCAGATTACATTAGGAGGGTCTGAAATGTCCAGAAAGCCTTCGAATCTAGAGGTTTGAGAACATAAGGGACAAGTTTAAACACTGCTTTCTCCGTGAATGTGGGGACTAGAAATGATAAATCGAAACAGTTTCCGGAAACTCATTACCAGGTGCCTAAGCAGTGACTGACAAGTAAAGAAATTGCTCAACAGCAATTTAGTTTTTAACATTAAAATAATTATGCTCTTCTTTTTGAAACAGTTATTTTGCTCCTCTGTGTTTCCACAACAAGCTGTAAACACTCACAGGCTTGAACCCACAACCCAGAACATACAATAATAATAATGCATACAAAACTACTTAAGGTCTTTACTAAGTAACTCAGTGCCATTTTTCTCAAATCTGTATATAAAGCTCAAATTTTCCATAGTCATTTTTCATATTTGCTAATACTATCTCTGCTTAGCACAGCATAGATGATAATTTAAAAACATCAGTCTATAGGTAACAAATTATTCTTTGATGTTTTTATGTGATTAAAGTTTAGGGGGTTTTCCTTCTTTTTAAACTCCATTTTGTTTGGAATTCATGGATAAAGATAAATCTGCAAATAAACCTGGATACTCTTTATCACTGTCACTAGCTTAGTAGTGGTCTACCATTTTTACTGAAACTTGGGCACCAACTGCTGGTTAGAAATATTTTTCATGGAATTCTTTGTACTTTAAATAAACTACTACTTCAAGATCTACCATGTGTCCCTCATTCATCTTTAAGGCATAGAATCTCATGTACTTTCTGTGAGCTTTGACTCTGAAATATCTGTCTCATATGCAGTCTCTACCAATCTCTGATGCAGTTTTATTAATGACTCAGCAAATTAGGGCAGAAATTATGTTTTGAAGGTTTGTGCTATGATTCATCTTAAGCAAAAAAAAAAAAAATTCATTTTGAAAAAATCAAGCCTATATTCAGTTTCCACTCTTTTTGCCAAAGACTAGTTTTAAAAGGTTTCTGTGTGGGTTTCACATAATGAACATCACAGAGGGGGAAAAAATTGCTGTTCCCTTTGGCATTTCTCCTCTTAAGGTGGTAGAAAAGTACGCATCTGCTTTTCCCGTGGAGAGAGAGATAATATGATAACCTTCTGATTATATACATAAGCGGAAACTGATCAGCTTCTCTTGTGGTTCGTTTTTAAGGGCAAGTTCCAGTTGGATTGTGCTAATGCACATATTCATGAATCTCTCCAAACAGGATTCACGGCTCTCCAGGGAACCCTTGAAGTATGCATCATTGTTTCAATGAAGTATCTTCATTATAAAACATAGGGACTATAAAAGGTGAATACCATTTGCCTCAGACTAATGTAATCTCTGGCCTGACTTTTCTCCACTCTGATTTCTTTCCTTCCTTTCTTTTGCCTACCATCCTTCCCTTCTTTCTTTCTCTTTTTCTTCCTTTCTTTCTTCATTTTTTTTTTAACAAACAAAAAAAAGTGAGAAAAAATCAAATTAGGTATTAGACAAAATCAAGAAAAAGATATGTTTGCTTTCAAAGTCAAATTTAATCTCCTTTGAAATGTTATGTAGGTAGAGATAGGAATCTTAACTCTAAAATCCAAAAATCCTTTTATTTGTACAAATGTTTTATTTGATAAAAAAGTAGTTAGCTTATGGAAATGTTTGGTCTCTGGGTGAGTATAAGTTTCTTGAAAAAAATAAGACCAAAGGTGGAAGGTATAAAAAAATAAGTAGGTAAATACCATTAAAGCAGGCAAAGAGAAGAGATACTATCATCAGAACAATGTAATGAAAAAAACAGGCACACAGATTTTTCATCTCATTGGCCTTACTGTAAAGGGTACAATATCTTGAACTGATCAGTCTTTTATTTGTACCAAATATAAATCCTAATGTTTCCCCCTCCTCTCTTTAGAATTCTTCCAGAGAACCTGAGATTTTAAGGAGTTCTACTAATGTGTGTGTTACAAAGAGGTCTTTATTAGAGAGGACATGAATGGAGGTCTGAGTGAGACTACAAAAGCCCTACACTGCACTCGGGTATAATGGGGTGCTTTATAGGGAAGGAACACTGTCTTTGGGGGATGAAGGACAGTTTAATACAACATCTATTGCAAGGGAACAAAGGAGTTATGTAGCTCACAAATTAGGGTATTCACATCCAGATATACTAGTGGTAGAGTGTAGAGACTTGGAATTCAGTGTAAAATGATCTTGTCATCCAACAGAGCACACTGGAATGTGGCAATCCTTGGATGTAAGTTGTATGGTCATCAAAATAGATCGTACAAGTCACAAATAACTACACTCGGTGACTCTGCAGCGATTAGCTCCCAAAGATAGTAATTCTTAGTGGCACTAAAAATAAGATGAGACATCTATGATTAAGCAGGAAATGACAAATGCAATTCAAGATACTATATATTCCAGTTGTCTTGGTCTCTCAGTGAAAATTAATTGAGGATAATATTTTTTAAGAGGCATAGGGGCAGAGCACATACAACGTGGAGTCTATGAATTACTGTCGCAGTTTAAGTCACCACTTCAGATGGACAGTCAAATCTCAAATCTCTATTGTTTGATATGTCATGAGATGAGAAAAGGAGACAGGATTTGAACAAAAATTCAAGAACTCAGCACCATGCTATAGGAGCTCCTTGTCAAGTAGAAAGGCCAGTATGCTCCCTCCTCACCACTGAAATTAGCAAGGTCATGGCTAATTCCATGTTGCTAAATCCTCTAGATTTACTTTCAATCCTTGATTTACTGTTACTGTTTTACATTTGACATTTGTATTTGACACTGTTTAGCAGACACACTCTCATTCCCTTGGCGTCCCCGTACTCAGTCTTCATAATTTTACCCCAGACCCCTCTAGCCACTCTTTTTCACCCTGCTTCTTAGAATCCTTTGTCTTAGCCCACTCCTAAAATGGAAGTATTCCTTTTAAATCTGTCTTCAAACCTTTGTTCTTCCTGTTCTAAACCTTCTACTTGGATGGTATCATCTGTTCTCGTGACTTTAATTATCTGTATAATTATGATGAGGCTACCCCAGCCCTGATTTCTCCTCTGAGTCCAAGCTCATGGAACTCACTCTTTCATTGAGAACCACCTAGATCCCCCATAAGAATCCTGAATTCACTGTTTCCAAAGCTGAATTCATATTGTCCTCCCCCATCTTCCATATTTAACCTATGTCTGCCTTCTGTATCCTCAGTTTAGAAAAGCATTATCACCCAAACCACTAAAGTCAGAAAGCTATGAATCATTCTTCTCTTGTATGCTTTATTGCAAACCAGTCATTAATTCCTATCCTAAATGTATGGATTTCCCTCCAGATCCATCACCATTCTCTTGGTTCAAGTCACCATGATCTATCATTATGATTATTGCAACAGACTTAATCTCTTCTTCCTTATT